TAATTGTTTGATGTCCATTTGTAAATAGAGCAGCCTGTCGCGCTCTTTCTCTACGTTTGCGCTGCTGCGCTGCTTTTGTTGTACCAGATGAAACTACATTCCAGGAGACTTATGCAGCATAGTATAGGTGTTTCGACCGTTTTATTGTATGGATGCAACTCACAAGGAATTTAATGTGACTGCACCCAATAAAGGGGCGGGCCAATTGTACTTTGGGTGCAGAAAATCATACTTTTATTTTAGAATCAACAATAGTATGTAATTGTACAGAATCCACGAATCCACGGTGAGTAAATGACCACAATCCACATTCCAAATTAAGCTTTGCCCGCCTAATTTAGAAGGCCTTGCTTTGCCCGCAAAAGAAACCCTCCTGTCCCTGAACGGTTGAAATTTGACAATATGCTTGTTTGATTTATGCCCTGATGTCTGATGAGCCTAAAAATAGGAGGTGTGCAAGTTGCAAGTCTTGCTCAACTGTGCAGCGCCAACTAGTACTACTGTGCAACGCCAAAAAAAACAGCAGTGCTCAACAGTCAGCAGTGTGCACTGTGTTATGCACTCTTCTTGCTCTTGTAGTGTATACAACGGCATTACGGCAGCCGCGCACACCCTCTTAGGCTTGGGCGACTCTGGGCTAAAAAAACGAACAAACAAAAACAGCATGACCCTCTAGAGAAAGAGAAGAAGACTTACAGTTAACAAAATATAGGGGATCGAACCAGCGTCCCAAAAAACAGATATCATAATATTTACAAAAATATCGAGCGCAAGTGTAATTATGCTCTTTTAAAAATAAGGAGGCTATGATCTATGTCCTATGACATGCCGCAACACTATTTACAGCCGCAACTGGGGCTGGGACTCTGAAGCTAAGCTCATTATTTACGTTATGGGGGTACGGAATAGAAGTTGAACGTAAACGTTATTTATTCAATTTTAAGACGTTATAACGGTTATATTGTGATCAGTAGGGCCTACCTACTGAATGGTGAAAACGGCACATAAATACATGTTGACCCGCAAGGTGCACCTGTGGGCATATAAAGGACCGTAAATTTATTAAAAGCTGAACGTAAACATATATTAATTCGATATTTAAAAGTTTTAACGGAAAACGGTTTGAGGTTAGCATTGGAGTCTGAGAGTCTGCAGTCTCGTCTAGTTAGTACTACTACATACTAGTCTACTCTCTACTCTACCACTACTACGATAGAAATAGTGAATCCTGTACGAAGTAGTGTACGTTTGATAGGTACACCAATGGAATCACAGAATTTACCGGTTCTTCCCAATTTAGCGGATAATTGTTTTTTTTTGCAAAAACAACAATATCTCAATATGCAAGTACTTATATAATATATTTATATTTGCTAATGAAAAAGCATTCAAAGGCCATCGCATATTAATGCATGTATGTATTAAGTATGCATACATGTATGTATTATATTTTTGTATGTATTAGGCATGTATGTATGTATTATATATGTATGAATGTATGTATGTATTAAGCATGCAAGTATTTATTAAACAAGTGTGTATGTATGTATTAGGTATGTATGTATGTAAGTACTATGTAAGTATGTATTATATCTGCATGAAAATATATTTATGCATGTAATAGGTATGTATGTATGTAAGTACTATGTATGTATGTATGTATTATATCTGTATGAATATATGTATGTATTAGCATGTATGCATGTATTACATATTTATGTATGTTGTAATAGGTATGTATGTATGTAAGTACTATGTATGTATGTATGTATTATATCTGTATGAATATATGTATGTATTAAGTTTGCATGTATGCATGTATTACATATTTATGTATGTATTAGGTATGTATGTGTGTATGTATGTGTTATGTATGTATGAATGTATGTATGTACTTTATATTTATGCATGTATTAGGTATGTATGTACGTATTAGGTATGTATGTAATGTATGTCCTATGTATGAACTATATATTTATGTATGTATGAATTAAGTATGTATGTAAGTATGGACTATGTATGTATGCATCAATGTATTATGTATGGAAGTAATAGGTATGTATGTATGTAATATATATATATATGTATGTATATATATATATATATGTATGTATATATATGTATATATATTTATATGTA